TTATCCAGGATAATTAAAGGGCAGGAGAGCATCCAGCAGCCGCCACATTCCCGCAGGGAAGCGTGGCTGTCTCATCCCAAATCCCAGCCTGGAAGAATCTGGGATGTCCGCAGATTTTTGGGATGTCCATGGATCCATCCACGGATCCATCCACGGATCCATGCACAGATCCATCCCCAGATCCATCCATGGATCCCCGAATTCATCCCTGGATCCATCCATCCATAGATCCATCCATAGATCCATCCATGGACAAATCCATGGATAAATCCACGGATCCATCCCCAGATCCATACATGGATTCATGGATCCATCCATGCATCCATTCCCAGATCCATCCCCGGATCCATCCACGGATCCACGGATCCATCCCTGGATCCATCCATGGATCCATGGATCCATCCCCGGATCCCTCCACAGATCCATCCACAGATCCATCCACGGATCCATCCACGGATCCATGGATCCATCCATAGATCTATCCATGGATCTATCCCTGGATCCATCCCCAGATCCATCCCTGGATCCATCCCCGGATCCATCCCTAGATCCATCCACAGATCCATCCCTGGATTCATCCATAGATCCATCCCCGGATCCATCCCCAGATCCATCCCCGGATCCATCCCCGGATCCATCCCTAGATCCATCCACAGATCCATCCCTGGATTCATCCATAGATCCATCCCCGGATCCATCCCCGGATCCATCCCCAGATCCACCCCTGGATCCATCCCCAGATCCATCCCTGGATCCATCCCCGGATCCATCCCCAGATCCATCCCCGGATCCATCCCCGGATCCATCCATGGATCCATCCTCAGATCCATCCCCAGATCCATCCCCGGATCCACCCCCATTTCCCCGCACCCCCCTCACCCTGAAATCCGCCGCCGCTTCCCGCACCGGCCTCATCTTGTGCCCCTGGTGCTGCTTGGAATTCTGGCAGGCGAAACACGCCAGCTCCTTGTCTTCCAGGCAAAAAAACTTGGGATCCTCCCCATGGATGGGGCAGGGAGCGGCGCCCGGGCTCTGCCGCTGCCCTTCCTCCTTGAGGATCAGCTCCACCAGGTTGTTGAGGGTGTAGTTGAGGCGGAGATCTTCCAGCGAGGAGTTTTCCTTGCAGACGGGGCAGGCGTGGCGCCGGTTTTCCCAGGATTTGCTGACGCAGCCCTTGCAGAAGTTGTGGCCGCAGGAAAGGGTGACGGCTTCCCGGAAAGGCTCGTAGCAGATGGGGCACAGCAGTTCCTCCTTCAGCTTGGGTCTGGAGCTGCTGCTGGAGCTCCTGGAGCCGCTGGAGCCGCTGGAGCCGGGTTTTTCCATGATTTCCGCTCCTTCCTGCGCGCTGCGGGACGGGGATGGGACGGGATTTTCCAGCTCTGCCGCTTCTGATGCAACCGCGCTCCGTTTCCTGCCCGTGACTCAGCCGCGCCCGTTCCCCCCCGCCCGGTGACGCCGCCCCGGGGCCGCGGCCGGGGGGGCTCCGGGCAGCGGCCACAAAACCGCCCGGGACCCCCCCCCAGCCCAGCCCCGGCCCGGTACCGAGAGAGCGGACAGCACCGGAGCGGCCCCGGGGCTCGGGGCTGGGTCCGCAGGTCCCGGTACCCCCGAATTCGGGGATGTTCTGTGCCCGGTTCGGGATCCCCACGTCCCGGTACCCCCGAATTCGGGGATGTTCTGTGCCCGGTTCGGGATCCCCAGGTCCCGGTACTCCCGAATTCGGGGATGTTCTGTGCCCGGTTCGGGATCTCCCGGTCCCGGTACTCCCGAATTCGGGGATGTTCTGTGCCCGGTTCGGGATCCCCAGGTCCCGGTACCCCCGAATTCGGGGATGCTTCTGTGACCGGTTCGGGATCTCCCGGTCCTGGTACCCCCGAATTCGGGGATGTTCTGTGCCCGGTTCGGGATCTCCCGGTCCCGGTACCCCCGAATTCGGGGATGCTCCGTGCCCGGTTCGGCATCTCCCTGTCTCCTTGTCCCCGAATTCGGGGTTGCTCCGGTGCCCGGTTCTGGGTCCTCAGGTCCCGTTACCCCCGAATTTGGGGATGCTCCGTGCCCGGTTCGGGATCCCCAGGTCTCGGTTCCCCCGAATTCGGGGTTGCTCCGGTGCCCGGTTCGGGACCCCTCTTTTCCCCCCCGGGCCAGCCCCGGTTCCCCAAACCCGGTCCCGCTGCCGTTCCCGGACCGGTGCCCCCCGAACCGGGGCAGCCCCGCGGCTCCGGACCCCCAGTCCCGGGGCCGCTCCCGCGCCGGGACCCCCAACCCTGGGGCGGCTCCGGTACCCGGTACCGGTCCCGCAATCCCGGTATCTGGTCCCGGTCCCCCAAACCCGGCACCTGGTCCCGATCCCCCAGTCCCGGTACCCTGTCCACCAAAACCGGTACCCGGTTCCCCAGTCCATGTCCCTGCTCTCCAATCCCGGTACCCGGTCCCGGTCCCCCAATCCCGGTCCTGTCCCCCAGTCCCGGTCCCAGTCCCCCAATCCCGGTACCCGATCCTCCAATCCCGGTCCCGGTCCCCCAATCCCGGTCCCGGTTCCCCAATCCCGGTACCCGGTCCCGGTTCCCCAATCCCGGTCCCGATCCCCCAATCCCGGTCCCGGTTCCGGTCCCTCAATCCCGGTCCCGGTCCCCCAATCCCTGTCCCGGCTCCCCAATCCCGGTGTCCGGTCCTGTCCCCCAGTCCCAGCGCCCAATCCCGGTACCCGATGACCCCAGTCCCGGTACCCGACCCCTCTCCCCCACCCCGGGTCCTCTCCCGGTGTCTCCCGGCCCTTCCCGGTACCGGTACCGGTTCCGGTGCCGGCTCCCGGTGGTTCCCCTCACCTGGCGGAGCGGACCTGGCACCGCCGGCAGCGCTCCCTCCTCCGCGGCGGCCGCCGCGCGGGGCTCCGCTCGCCCTCCTGCCACATCCCGGTGCTGCTCTTCCCGGTATTCCCGGTGCTGTTCCCGGTATTCCCGGTATTCCCGGTGCTATTCCCGGTATTCCCGGTGCTGTTCCCGGTATTCCCGGTGCTCTTCCCGGTATTCCCGGTGCTATTCCCGGTGTTCTTCTTCCCGGTGTTCTTCCCGGAGCCTCTTCCCGCGGTTCTTCCCGGTGTTCTTCCCGAAGCTTTTTCCCGGTATTCCCGGTGTCGTTCTTCCCGCTGTTGCTGTTCCCGGTGTTCTCCCGGTGTTCCCGGAGCCCGGCCCGGGATGAAGCCGCTCCTGGGGGCGGTTCCCGTTCCCGGCCCCGCCTCTCCCGCCATTCCCGGCCCCGCCCCCTCCCCGCCCCCGGTTTTGGCGGGTTCAGCCATCCCAAAATCCCGTTTTTTTTCGGGAATGAGGTTCCCGATGATCCTCTCCCCCCACGCTGGGGTTTCCACACCTGGCCTTGCGCCCCTTCCCGCTTTTCCAGCCGCTTTTCCCGCTTTTCCAGCCGCTCCGACATCCCGGGAATCTCGCGGTGTTCCCATCCCCCCTCCCAAAAATCCCGGCGTGGGAAGCGGGAGAAATCCAAAAAATTATCCCAGGGAAAACAAACAACAGGGAAAAAAATAAAAATAGAAATGGAAATAAAATTAAAAATAAAATTAAAATTAAAAATGAAATTAAAAATAAAATTAAAAATAAAAGTAGAAATAAACATAAAAATAGAAATAAAAAAATAAAATTAAAAGTAAAAATAAAATAATAAAAAATAAAAATTAAAATTAAAATTTAAAAAATTAAAATTAAAAATAAAAGTCAAAATAAAAAAATAAAAAATAAAAATAAAAATAAAAGTAAAAATAAAAAATAGAAATAGAAATAGAAATTAAAATTAAAATAATAAAAAATAACAATAAAATTAAAAATAAAAATAGAAATAGAAATAAAAAATAGAAATAGAAATAGAAATTAAAATTAAAATAATAAAAAATAAAAATTAAAATTAAAATTTAAAGAATTAAAATTAAAAATAAAAGTCAAAATAAAAAAATAAAAAATAAAAATAAAAATAAAAGTAAAAATAAAAAATAGAAATAGAAATAGAAATTAAAATTAAAATAATAAAAAATAAAAATAAAATTAAAAATAAAAATAGAAATAGAAATAAAAAATAGAAATAGAAATAGAAAAATAAATAAAAATAGAAATAGAAATAAAAATAAAATAATAATAAAAATAAAATAATAATAAAAATAAAATAAAAATAAAAATAAAATAAAATAATAGTAATAATAATAATAATAATAATAATAATAATAATAATGGTAATAGAGGTGGTTTTGGCTGTTGTTTTTTTTCCCCCTGTGGAATTCCAAACGGTTGGAGCTGTGTTTTCCAAAGGCCGGGAATCCAAGGTTAAAGATAAAAGTGGGAATGAGGAGCTCGGACTGCCGGGAACAGCGCGGGGGCGGGAAAAATCCCTGATGGAAAAAAAACCTTCGGCCTCCGGAGCCATCCCGGCCTGGAATTGTGGGAATTCTGTGGGGAATTGTGGGGGGATTTTGTGGGAATTGTGTGGGAATTTTGTGGGAATTGTGTGGGAATTGTGTGGGAATTTTGTGGGAATTTTGTGGGAGTCTTGTGGGAATTTTGTGGGAATTCAGTGGGAACTGAGTGGGAATTGAGTGGGAATTTTATGGGAATTGTGTAGGAATTTTATGGTAATTTTGTGGTAATTTTATAGGAATTTTGTGAGAATTGTGTGGGAGTCTTGAGGGAATTTTGTGGGAATTTTATAGGAATTTTGTGGGAGTCTTGCAGGAATTTTGTGGGAATTTTGTGGGAATTTGGGATGGGATTCACGCTTCCATCCCGGAATCTGACGATCCATCCCGAAGTTTCGTGGCCCTTCCCAGAACTCCAAGAATTCCCTGGATCTTTGGGACACCCGGATGTTCTCCCCATTCCCAAACTCCTCCGCACCCGGATCCGGCTTTGGGAATGCTTTATTAACCCCGGCCGGGAATCAGATCCAGGGAAACCCACGCCCCGTTCCCATCCGGGATATCCGGAATATTCTTCCCGGTGTCCTCACCGGCCTTCCGCGGATCCCAGATATTCCTCCAGCAGAATTCCCAGCTCCGAGTTCTGCCGCTGCAGGGCGGCGGCCTCGGAAAAGAGCTCGGATCTCCGGGTCAGCACTTTGCTGGGAAAAACAAAAGAAAAAAAAAAACTGGGATAAGGCGGGAAAATCCCGGGAAAAGGTGGAATTTTCCCGCCGGGATCGCCCCCGGGCACTCACTGGTATTCCCGGAGCGCGGCGCCCAGCGCATCCCAAAGTTTGAGCGTCGGCTCGGGAATGACGGCGCTCAGGGATTCCCAGTATTCCCCGTCCTTGGAATTGTCCCGGACGTCCTGGATCTCCTTGGGGGGGCCTTCGTCCCTGGGGGCGGGAAAGGAATCCTTGGGATGGGGGGGAAATTCCTGGGATGGGGGGGAAATCTTTGGGAATAGAGAAGAAATCCTTGGGATGGGGAGGAAATCTTTGGGATGGAGAGGAAATCCTTGGGATGGAGAGGAAATCCTTGGGATGGGGAGGAAATTCCTGGGATGGGGAGGAAATTCCTGGGATGGAGAGGAAATCCTTGGGAATAGAGGACAAATCTTTGGGAATAGAGAGCAAATCCTTGGGATGGAGAAGAAATTCTTGGAATGAAGAAGAAATTCCTGGGATGGAGAAGAAATTTTGGGATGGAGAACAAATCCTTGGGAATAGAGAAGAAATCTTTGGGAATAGAGAAGAAATCTTTGGGAATAGAGAAGAAATCCTTGGGAACAGGGAGGAAATCCCTGGGATGGAGAACAAACTCCGGCTTTCCCTCCCTGTTCCCGGCTCCTGGATAATCTCCCAGCCTCGGGAATCTCCGGATCCATCCCTGGCGGAGCAGGGAAAGTTGGGAAGCTCCTTTTCCTCAATCCAGGAATTCCCAGGACGTTCCCAGGATCCGGCTTTGGCTCCATCCCGGTGCCCCCAGCCCCTCTCCGTCCCCATTCCCACCTCAGCTTGGCGAAATCCCGCAGGAATTCCTTCAGGATTCCCAGGATATCGTCCGCTCGGATGGACAGGCCGGGAATGGAATTCCCGGGGGATCGGAGCTCATCCCTCCGGGAATGGGATCCGACATTCCCTCGCTCCTGAGCCGGATCCGTGGGATCTTCCCCTCCCGGGATGTCCTGGAGGGAGAAAAGCCGGATTCGGAATTTTCCCATGGGAAAAAATCCTCCTCCCGGGAATTCCCGGGATGCTTTCCCCGGGATTCCTGGGATTTTCCCGGGCTGCTGATCCCACCTGGCTTTTGGTGGCTTTCTGGGAATCGAAATCCAGGAAATAATCCAGGAGTTTGCGCAGGTCATCCTCGTCCTCGATCCGGAGGGTCTGGAAAAGCGGGAATTCCGTCAGGAATTTTCCGGGAGCGGAGGGAGCCCCTCTGGAAATGCGGGATAAGGGAGGGAGGGCGGGAGAGCCGGGAATATCCATGGATGGGAAAGTCTGGGAATGGGCTGGAGGAGTCCTGGAGGTGCTGAGACCGTCGGGATGGATCCGGAGCCGGGAATCTGGGAATCGTGGAATGTTCTGGGTGGGAAGGGACCTCAACGCTCAGCAGGGACACCGCCCGTGATCCCGAAACTTGGATATTCCCAGGGATCCGGGGATTCCCTGGGAATTCCAGCCCAGCCGGGGATTCCTTCCCGAGATCCTGAGATCCCAAAATCCCGACCCTGGGGCAGTGGGAGCCGTTCCCTGTCCCAGAATTCCGGGCCCTTTTCCCAGATCCCTCTCCGGCTCTCCTGGATTGGATCCAGCCCCATCCCGACTCCTCCTGGAGAAGGAATTTTGGGAATTCCCTGGGAATCTCGGGACTCCAGGAAGGGTCTCCCTTCCCTTTCCCATCCCTGAATTCCATAAAAATCCCTTGGGATGGATCCTGAGTGTCCTCGATCCCAGAATCCCGGAATGGTTTGGGATGGGATCCAGGGATCTTCAGTCCCATCCCATTCTAATCCCAGGCTGCTCCAGCCTTTCCTCGGGAATTCATCCCAGGGATTCTCTGGGAATTCCTTCCCAAGCTCCCAGCCCCAGCTCCCCTTTCCCAGTGGGAAGCCATTCCCTGGCTCCTGGCCCTGCGGCCCTTTCCCAAATCCCAGCTCTCCCGGAGCCCCTGGAGCCTCGGGAAGCGGCTCCCAGCATTCCCGGGATCCTTCCCTGATCCGGCTGCGCATTCCCGGTGCTGAGATCCCGGGAGATCCGATCCCAGCTCACCTCCAGGAGGGATCGGAGCTGCTGGACGCTGTTCCTGTGTCCCACCACCTCCCGCAGGGGCCTCAGGAGTTTGTTTTCCAACAGGAATTCCTTGGGAGAAAAAAATAAAAAGCCGGGAAGAGCCGCACTGAGCATTCCCAGCCCTGATTCCCAAAAAAAAAAGGGATTCCCAAAAAAAAAAAAAAACCCGGATGGGGCTGGCTCCCGGACCCCGAGCTCACCGACTCCTCGCTCAGGAGCTCCAGCATTTTCCGGAGGGTTTTCCTGGGAATGTTGGGCTGGCTCGTGACTCTTTGCTCCGAGTTTTCCTGCTTTTCCTTCCTCCCCTCTCCGCCTTTCTTCCTGCTCCTCCTTCCTTCCCGCTCCCTTTTCCCGGATTTGATCCCTGGAAACCAACGGGGAGCAGACAAAAAAAAAAACAAAAAAAACCCAAAAAAACCCTTTGGATCCCTGGAAAATTCCGGAACGAGGCTGGAAAATCCCACCCGGAATTCCCAAGGATGGCTTGGGACACGGGGAGGTAAATCCCGAGGAATTTTTTTGGGGGGGGGATTTTCCCAACCTTCCAGCAGTTCCGTGGCCACCTGCAGGGCGTCCCGCTTTTCCCGGCGGCCTCCCAGGGGTCCCACGTTCTCCAGGAATCCCAGGCGCGGCTCTTCCCAGGGAATTCCCAGCTGCTGGACGTGGATGATCCGGGCGGCATCCAGCGCTTCCCGGATCAGCGCCTTGGCCTCCTCCTCGTTGACGATCCAAACCTGCCGGAACCTCTCGGCGCTGCTCTGCGCCAGCTGCCTGCGGAAAAAAAACGGTCCCAAAGGGATCCCCCGGGATTCCCGGCGCTTCGGAGGATCCCCGCAGGGATTCCGTGATTCCCGGATTGAGGATCCCAAGACGGATTCCATGATTCCCGGATTCCCAGCGCTCCAGAGGATCCCCCGAAAGGATTCTGTGATTCCTGGATTCCTGGTGCTCCGATTCCTGGGTTGAGGATCCCCGAAGGGATTCCATGATTCCCGGATTCCCACCCTGGAGGATCCCCGAAGGGATTCCCGGTGCTCCAGAGGATCCTCAAACGGATTCCATGATTCCCCAGTTCTGCCCTGGAGGATCCCCAAACGGATTCCATGATTCCCCAATTCTGCCCTGGAGGATTCCCAAAGGGATTCCATGATTCCCAGCACTCCACAGGATCCCCAAAGGGATTCCGTGGTTCCCAGTGATCCATAGGATCCCCAAAGGGATTCCATGATTCCTGGATTCCCGGCGCTCCAGAGGATCCCCAGAGGGATTCCGTGATTCCTGCCCTGGAGGATCCCCAAAGGGATTACCAGATTCCCGAGCTGAGGATCCCCGGAGGGATTCCCGGATTCCTGGATTGAGGATCCCCAAAGGGATTACCAGATTCCCACTCCAGAGGATCCTCAAAGAGATTCCATGATTCTCGGGTTCCTGCCCTGGAGGATCCCCCAAAGGGATTACCAGATTCCCGAATTGAGGATCCCCGGAGGGATTCCCGGATTCCCGGTGCTCTGGAGGATCCCCAAAGGGATTCCGTGATTCCTGGATTAAGGATCTCCAAAGGGATTCCGTGATTCCCGGATTCCTGGCACTCCAGAGGATCCCTGAAGGGATCCCGTGATTCCCGGATTGAGGCTCTCCAAAGGGATCCCGTGATTCCCGGATTCTTGGCACTCCGGAGGATCCCTGAAGGGATTCTCAGATTCCCGCCCCGGAGGATCCCCAAAGGGATTCCGTGATTCCCGGATTCCCGGCGCTCACTCTGGAGGATCCCCAAAGGGATTCCCGGATTCCTGGATTGAGGATCCCTGAAGGGATTCTGTGATTCCCAGATTCCCACCCTGGAGGATCCCTGAAGGGATCCTGTGATTCCATGATTTCCTGGTTCCTGCTCCGGAGGATCCCCAAAGGGATTCCGTGATTCCCGGATTCCCGGCGCTCACTCTGGAGGATCCCCAAAGGGATTCCCGGATTCCTGGATTGAGGATCCCTGAAGGGATTCTGTGATTCCCAGATTCCCACCCTGGAGGATCCCTGAAGGGATCCTGTGATTCCATGATTTCCTGGTTCCTGCTCCGGAGGATCCCCAAAGGGATTCCGTGATTCCCGGATTGCGGATCCCCGGAGGGATTCTGTGATTCCCAGATTCCCACCCTGGAGGATCCCTGAAGGGATCCCATGATTCCATGATTTCCTGGTTCCTGCTCCGGAGGATCCCCAAAGGGATTCCGTGATTCCCGGATTGAGGATCCCCAAAGGGATTCCGTGATTCCCGGATTGAGGATCCCCGGAGGGATTCCCGGATTCCCGGTGCTCTGGAGGATCCCTGAAGGGATCCCATGATTCCATGATTTCCTGGTTCCTGCCCTGGAGGATCCCCAAAGGGATTCCGTGATTCCCGGATTGAGGATCCCCAAAGGGATTCCGTGATTCCCAGATTCCTGCCCTGGAGGATCCCCAAAGGGATTCCGTGATTCCCGGATTGAGGATCCCCGGAGGGATTCTGTGATTCCCAGATTCCCACTCCAGAGGATCCCTAAGAGGATTCCGTGATTCCCAGATTTCTGCTCCAGAGGATCCCCGAAGGGATTCCGTGATTCCTGGATTGAGGATCCCCGGAGGGATTCCCAGATTCCCGGTGCTCTGGAGGATCCCTGAAGGGAAATAATTATTCCCAGATTTCCTGGTTCCTGCCCTGGAGGATCTATAAGAGGATTCCGTGATTCCCAGATTCCTGCCCTGGAGGATCCCCAAAGGGATTCCGTGATTCCCGGATTGAGGATCCCCGGAGGGATTCTGTGATTCCCAGATTCCCACTCCAGAGGCTCCCTAAGAGGATTCCGTGATTCCCAGATTCCTGCCCTGGAGGATCCCCAAAGGGATTCCGTGATTCCCGGATTGAGGATCCCCGGAGGGATTCCCAGATTCCCGGTGCTCTGGAGGATCCCTGAAGGGATCCCATTATTCCCAGATTTCCTGGTTCCTGCCCTGGAGGATCCCTAAGAGGATTCCGTGATTCCCAGATTCCCACTCCAGAGGATCCCTAAGAGGATTCCGTGATTCCCAGATTTCTGCTCCAGAGGATCCCCGAAGGGATTCCGTGATTCCTGGATTGAGGATCCCCGGAGGGATTCCCGGATTCCCGGTGCTCTGGAGGATCCCTGAAGGGATCCCATGATTCCATGATTTCCTGGTTCCTGCCCTGGAGGATCCCCAAAGGGATTCCGTGATTCCCGGATTGAGGATCCCCAAAGGGATTCCGTGATTCCCAGATTCCTGCCCTGGAGGATCCCCAAAGGGATTCCGTGATTCCCGGATTGAGGATCCCCGAAGGGATTCCATGATTCCCGGATTCCCGGCGCTCCGGAGGACCTGCGGGATGTGATTCCCACCTCATCCGGCTCCGCGTCTCCTGGAACTGCCCCGTGATCCGCTGCAGCTCCCATTCCAGGCTCCGCTTTTCCTCCTGGAATTTCTCCTCCTGCCGGGCCATCCTCTCCCTCAGGAGGCTGAGGCACGTCTGGAACCTGGGACGGATTTGGGACGGAAATCCGGGACTTGGGAATGCCCGGAGAACCCCTGGGAACGGGGAGGAGATTCCCGGGATGGGTTTTACCGGGTGATTTTCCGCTTCTGCAGGGATCGGAGCGTGGAATTTTCCAGATCCAGCTGCCGGAGCACGTCCAGGTTGTATTCCAGCTTCACCTGGTTCAGGTGGAACATCCCCTTCATCTGCCGCAGCTTCTTCTCCAGGTACTGGAATTCCCAGCCGGGAAAAATAAAAACAACAAGCCCGGAATTTAGGGAAAACCCAGGGAAAATCCCGGATTTTTTGGATCTGGATTCCTCAGGATTTTTAAAAAAATAAATAAAAAAGGCTGGGATTAAATCCCGGCAGGGCCAAGAGGTTTTTTTTTTCCCTTTTTCAGAGGATCCAGGGGTGAATTCCCAAAATCCCACCTCGGGCAGCAATCAAATTAAATCCAATTAGATCCAATTAAATCAAATTAAATCCAATTAATGAAATTAATCCACCATCAGTTTAATTCCAGGCTCTCCCAGCTTGGAATTCCCTCCCTAAATCCCGGTTCTGGCTTCCGAGCGTTCTCCTTTCCCACCTGCGGTGGGCACAGGGAATTCCCGCTCCTCCTCCCTTCGGAATTCCGGGTTTGTTGGGATAACTTTTGGGATGTCTCACATTTACTTTGGGGGGAAAAAATATTCCTAAAATCCCATGGAAAGCTTTCCCCGGGAAGGTTTTTCTTTCCCAAACCCTGGAATTCGGAGAGGGAAAATTATCTCCCGGAGCTCCTCCCCCTTCCACGGCTCAAGGTTGTTTTTCCAACGTTTCCTTGGGAATGCTGAGCTCCCTCCCAAAACAGCTCGGGGGCGCCTGGGAACATCCCACGCTTCCAACTTATCGGGAATTGAGGGTGTGGAGCTGCTGGAGAGCATCCAGGGAATGCCACGGAGCCGCTCCCGGGGCTGGGAGAGCCGGGAATGTGCGGCCGGATCAGGGAAGGATCCCGGGAATGCTGGGAGCCGCTTCCCGAGGCTCCAGGGGCTCCGGGAGAGCTGGGATTTGGGAAAGGGCCGCAGGGCCAGGAGCCAGGGAATGGCTTCCCACTGGGAAAGGGGAGCTGGGGCTGGGAGCTTGGGAAGGAATTCCCGGAGAATCCCTGGATTCCTGGTGGTGACCAAGGAATTGGGAATCCTGAATCCCCAGGATTGGGATTGGAATGGGATGGGATTTAAAATCCCTGGATCCCATCCCAAACCAATACAGGATTCTGGGATCCAGGACACTCAGGATCCATCCCGAGGGACTTTTATGGAATTCAGGGATGGAAAAGGGAAGGGAGACCCCTCCTGGAGTTGGGAATTCCCAGCGAGGCCCCTGGATCCCGAAATTCCTTCCCAGCCAGGAGTCGGGATGGGGCTGGATCCAATCCAGGAGAGCCGGAGAGGGATTTGGGAAAAGGGCCCGGAATTCTGGGACAGGGAACGGCTCCCACTGCCCCAGGGTCGGGATTTTGGGATCTCAGGATCTTGGGAAGGAATCCCCGGCTGGGCTGGAATTCCCAGAGAATCCCTGGGAGCTCCCAAGGAAAGGCGGGATCACCCTGGGATGGCGGGGTTGGAACGGGAAGGGATTGAAGATCCACGGATCCCATCCCAAACCACCCGGGAATCTCCCCTTGGAATTCCTGGGCGCATTCCTGGGAAGGCCCTGCCCATCCCCCTCCTCCGACAGCGGGATTTTTCCTGCTGGGATTTTCCCGAAGCCCTTCCAGCCTCTGGCATTCCCTGACCCTCCCCAGGATCCTTCCTGGCCGCTCCCATCCCGCTTTTCCATCAGCCGCATTCCCGGGATTTGGCAAGCCCAAATCCACGCTCCCGCTGCCTTTGGAGCAGCTCCCGGCCGGAGCAGGATGCATCCATCGCTCCACGGGAATTCCCAGCGGGAATCTCCTCCGGGAAGCGGCTGCCGGCAATTCCGGGAATTTGGGGGTGGCTCCGGCAGGAATTTCCCGGGAATTGGAATTCCCGGAGAAGCTTTGGCTGACCCTGGATCCCCGGGAGCATCCAAGGAAAGGTCGGAGCAAGCTGGGATGTCGGAATGGGATGGGATGTGAGGTCCCTTCCCAGCCGAAGCATTCCAGGATTCCCAGGGGTGATTCCGGGGTTTTTCCCGGCACCTGCACGTCCTGTTCCAGCTGGGATTTCATGCGGTCGTAGCTCTCCACGCTCTCGGCCTGCAGCTCGTTCAGCTGCTGCTCAAACTCCCGCGCCTTCTCCATCCGCTGCCGCAGGAATTCCAGCTGCGGGAGCACCCGGGGCCTCAGCCCGTCCGACCTCATCCAAACTCTTCCAAACACATCCAAACACATCCAACTTCTTCCAAACACATCCAATCCCATCCAATCCCATCCAATCCCATCCAATCCCATCCAATCCCATCCAACCTCTTCCAAACACATCCAATCCCATCCAATCCCATCCAACCCCATCCAACCTTATCTCATCTCATCCCACCTCATCCCACCTCATTCCAACTCATCCCATCCCATCCAACCCAATCCAACCTCATCCAACCTCATCCAAACCCATCCAATCCCATCCAACCTCATCCAACCTCATCCAACCTCATCCAAACCCATCCAATCCCATCCAACCTCATCCAATCCCATCCAATCCCATCCAACCTCATCCAATCCCATCCAATCCCATCCAACCTCTTCCAATCCCATCCAAACCCATCCAATCCCAGCCCACCTCATCCAACCTCATCCAAACCCATCCCATCTCATCCAATCCCATCCAATCCCATCCAAACCCATCCAATCCCATCCAACCACATCTAAACCCATCCAAACCCATCCAATCCCAGCCCACCTCATCCAACCTCATCCAAACCCATCCCATCTCATCCAATCCCATCCAATCCCATCCAAACCCATCCAATCCCATCCAACCTCATCCAACCGCGTCTAAACCCATCCAATGTCATCCAACCTCATCCCACCTCATTCCAACTGATCCAACCCCATCCAACCTCATCCAACCGTATCCAATCTCATCCAACAACATCCCATCTCATCCAACCCCATCCAAACCCATCCAACCTCATCCCATCTCATCTCACCTCATCCAATGTCATCCAACCCCATCCAACCTCATCCAACCGTATCCAATCTCATCCAACAACATCCCATCTCATCCAACCCCATCCAAACCCATCCAACTTCATCCCATCTCATCCCACCCCACCTTATCCAAACCCATCCCACCTCATCCAACCTCTTCCAAACAGATCCAACCTCACCCCATCTCATCCAACCTCATCCCACCCCATCCAATCCCATCCAACCTCATCCCACCTTATCCAACCCCATCCCACCTCATTTCAAGTCATCCCATCCCATCCCATCCCATCTCATCCCACCTCATCCAATCATCCCCATCCCCATCCAACCCCATCCAATCCCATCCAATCCCATCTCATCCCACCCCATCCCAACCCATCCCACTTCATTCCAACTTATCCAAACCCATCCAATCCCATCCCATCCAACCTCATTCCGCCTTTTCCAAACCCACCCAATCCCATCCAACCTCATCCAAACCTTCATTCCATCTCATCCCAGCCCATCCAACCTCACCCAACCTCATTCCACATCATTCCACTTTTTCCAATCCCATTATCCCATCCCATCCCATTATCCCATCCCATCCCATTATCCCATCCCATGCCATTATCCCATCCCATTATCCCATCCCATCCCATTATCCCATCCCATCCCATCCCATCCCATTATCCCATCCCATCCCATTATCCCATCCCATCCCGTTCCCACCCCAATCCCAGAAATTCCAGCTCCCTCCCGCCGCCCCGCAGGGCAGAGCCGATCCCGACATTCCAAGCCGATCCCGACATTCCAAGCGGGACACGGACAGGGAAGGGGTTGGGAACGGGGCTGGAGCTGGGAAAGGGGCTCAGCCTGGAGAAAAGGAGGCTCCAGAGGGATCTTTCCCCCCTCTGGAATTCCCGGAAAAGCCAGGAAAACAGGGAAATTGCCAAGGGAGGTTTTCTTGGATATGGGGAACAATTCCCAACATCCGGGGGTTTTCCAGAGGGGGCAGGGTGGAGCCCCCATTCCCAATGGGATTGGAATCCATGTGGATTTGACCCTTTGGAGATGGGAACGGTCCGGGAATGGGTGATCCCAGAGGGGTTTTCCGGCCTCAGCGATTCCCAAAATTCCCGTGGGATTCACCTCCTGCTCGTTGTGGGCCCGGATGGCCTCGTTCCACCTTTCCCGGTTGTTGGCCAGCATTTCCCGGCGCTCCTCCTCAAAGGTTTTCTGCGGGAGAGACGGAAATTCCAGCCTGGGATCCCGGGAAAACGGGAAATTCCAGAGTCATTCCCAACCCCTCGGAGCTCCGCATTCCCGCCTCATCCAGCCGGATTTCATCCCAGCACCGCAAATCCGAGGATTTCTGGGATTTTTTTTTCCTTTTTCCCCATAAAAATCCGGAGAAGCGGAGCAGGGGTTTTTCCCGCTTTTCCCGGTTTTCCCGGGAACTGGTCACCTCGATCTGCCGGAGGTGGTGCCGGTAGGTCCTGAGCATATTCCGGGTCTGCTCTTCCATCCTCTCCAGGAGCAGCCGGATCTCCTCCGCCTGCTCCTTCAGGGCCTGCTCGTACCGCTCATCCCTGGCCTGCAGCTCCTGGGAAAAACAGGGAATGGGAGCCTGGAATCAGCGGGAATTCAGCGGGAATCCTCAGGGAAAGGGCAGGACACGGAATGATCCTGGAGTGGTTGGGAGGAGACCTCAAGGATCGGCCCAGTCCAATCCCATCCCCGATCCCAGGGTGATCCGGCCTTTCCTTGGGGATTCATCCCAGGGATTCTCCGGGAATTCCTTCCCAAGCTCCCAGCCCCAGCTCCCCTTTCCCAGTGGGAAGCCATTCCCTGGCTCCTGGCCCTGCGGCCCTTTCCCAAATCCCAGCTCTCCCGGAGCCCCTGGAGCCTCGGGAAGCGGCTCCCAGCATTCCCGGAATCCTTCCCCGATCCGGCTGCACATTCCCGGCTCTCCCAGCACCAGGAGCGGCTCCGGCTGTTCCCGGGTACCTGCCGGAGCTCTTGGATCAGCCGGTTCTTCTCGGCCAGGAGCTGCTGGCACTGCTCCTGCTGCTGCTCCAGCAATTCCCACAATTCCTGCGGCACCTTCAGCTCCTCGGCCGAGCCCCACCTGGAGTTGATCTCCGACAACTTTTCCGCGCCGCGCTTGGCCTCCGTCTCCAGCTTTTCCAGCCTGTGGGAAGCCAGGGAATGGCGGAGCTGGGATAGGGCTGGAATAGCTCCAAGCCCGGGGTGTTTCCATTCCCTAAATCCCTTCACGGAATCCCTTCCATTCCCTAAATCCCTTCCTGGAATCCCTTCCCGGAATCCCTTCACTTCCCTAAATCCCTTCCCGGAATCCCTTCACTTCCCTTCCCTAAATCCCTTCCCGGAATCCCTTCACTTCCCTAATTCCCTTCCCAGAATCCCTAAATCCCTTCCTGGAATCCCTTCACTTCCCTAAATCCCTTCCCTAAATCCCTTCCCGGAATCCCTTCTATTCCCTAAATCCCTTCCTGGAATCCCTTCCCCAAATCCCTTCCTTAAATCCCTTCCCAGAATCCCTTCCATTCCCTTCCCTAATTCCCTTCCCGGAATCCCTAAATCCCTTCCTGGATTCCCTTCACTTCCCTAAATTTCTTCCCTGAATCCCTTTCCTTTCCTGAATCCCTTCCTTACATCCCTTCCCTAAATCCCCTCCATTCCCTAAATCCCTCCCCTAAATCCCTTTCCTTTCCCGAATCCTTTCCCTGAATCCCTTCCCGAAATTCCTTCTCCTTTCCCTGAATCCCTTCCCGAAATCCCTTCCCTAAATCCCAAAATCCCTTCCCTGAATCCCTTCCATTCCCTAAATTCCTTTCCTTCCCAGAATCCCTTCCCTGAATCCTTTCCCTAAATCCTTTCCCTTCCCTAAATCCCTTCCTGAAATCCCAAAATCCCTTCCCGGAATCCCTTCCATTCCCTAAATCCCTTCCCAACAACCCTTCCCTACATCCCTTTCCTTTCAAGAATCCCTTCCCAAAATCCCTTCTCTAAATCCCAAAATCCCTTCCCTGAATCCCAAAATCCCTTCCCTAAATCCCTTCCATTCCCTAAATCCCTTCCCCTTCCTAAATCCCTTCCCAACACCCCTTCCCTACATCCCTTTCCTTCCCAGCATCCCTTCCCGAAATCCTTTCCCTAAATTCCTTCCCTTCCGTAAATTCCTTCCTGGAATCCCTTCCTTAAATCCCTTCCCTAAATTCCTTTCCTTCCCTGAATCCTTTCCCTGAACCCCTTCCCTAAATCCCTTCCCTGAATCCCTAAATCCCTTCCCAGCATCCCTTCCCTAAATCCCTTCCCGAAATCCCTTCCCGGAATCCCTTCCTGGAATCCCTTCCCGGAATCCCTTACCTAAATCCTTTTCCTTCCCTGAATCCTTTCCCAGAATCCGTTCCCTAAATCCCAAAGTCCCTTCCCGAAATCCGTTTCCTTCCCTAAATGCATTCCCTAAATCCCTTCCCAACACCCCTTCCCTACATCCCGTTCCTTCCCTGAATCCCTTCCCAAAATCCCTTCCCTAAATTCCTTCCCTTCCATAAATTCCTTCCCTAAATCCCATCCCGGAATCCCAAAATCCCTTCCCGAAACCCCGAAATCCGTTTCCTTCCCTAAATGCATTCCCTAAATCCCTTCCCAACACCCCTTCCCTACATCCCGTTCCTTCCCTGAATCCCTTCCCTGAATCCCTTCCCTGAATCCCTTCCCTGAATCCCTTCCCTGAATCCCTTCCCTGAATCCCTTCCCGAAATCCCTTCCCTTCCATAAATTCCTTTCCTAAATCCCATCCCGGAATCCCAGAATCCCATCCCTGGAGCTTCTCCTGGGAAATTCCTGCCGGAGCCACCCCCAAATTCCCGGAATTGCCGGCAGCCGCTTCCCGGAGGAGATTCCCGCTGGGAATTCCCGTGGAGCGATGGATGCATCCTGCTCCGGCCGGGAGCTGCTCCAAAGGCAGCGGGAGCGTGGATTTGGGCTTGCCAAATCCCGGGAATGCGGCTGATGGAAAAGCGGGATGGGAGCGGCCAGGAAGGATCCTGGGGAGGGTCAGGGAATGCCAGAGGCTGGAAGGGCTTCGGGAAAATCCCAGCAGGAAAAATCCCGCTGTCGGAGGAGGGGGATGGGCAGGGCCTTCCCAGGAATGCGCCCAGGAATTCCAAGGGGAGATTCCCGGGTGGTTTGGGATGGGATCCGTGGATCTTCAATCCCTTCCCGTTCCAACCCCGCCATCCCAGGGTGATCCCGCCTTTCCATGGGCGCTCCCAGGAATTCTCCAGGAATTCCTTCCCAAGCTCCCAGCCCCAGCTCCCCTTTCCCAGTGGGAATCCATTCCCTGGCTCCTGGCCCTGCGGCCCTTTCCCAAATCCCAGCCGAAACACCAAATCCCGAAATTTCCCACGGGAATCCGGCGGCATTCCCAAACTCCCGACCCCTTCCCGCTCACCTCCTCAGCTTCTCCGGGCCCTCCTTTTCCCGCCTCCGCCATTCCCGGAGATCGGATTCCACCTGGACGTTGGTCACCAGCTGCGTCCCGTGGAACAGGAGCTTGGCCAGGACCTGCCGGGAATTCCGCCTTGGAATGCGCCGGTCCCGGATCCTCCCCGTCCCCGGGATGGGCGGGAATCCAATCCCAAGGATCCAGCTGGAATCCCCGTCCCTGGGAGCTCCTCTCCCGGTTTTTGGCCCGTCGAGGAGGAAAATTTGGGATGAGGAGGGATCCGAGGGGAAATTCCCGTCGGATCCCAAATCCCGATCCTGGAGTTTCTCTCCTGGATTTTTGTCCCACCGAGGATCCAAACAAGGGATCGAGGATGGATCCAAGAGGAAATTCCCGTTGGATCCCAAATCCCAGGAGGAAAACAGGGATTGGGGATGGATCCAAGAGGAAATTCCCGTTGGATCCCAAATCCCAGGAGGAAAACAGGGATCGAGGATGGATCCAAGAGGAAATTCCCGTCGGATCCCAAATCCCAGGAGGAAAACAGGGATCGAGGATGGATCCAAGAGGAAATTCCCGTCGGATCCCAAATCCCAGGAGGAAAACTGGGATTTGGGATGGATCCAAGAGGAAATTTCCATCACATCCCAAATCCCGATCCTGGGGAGTTTCTTTCTTGTTTTTTTGTCCCATCAAGGCGACACCGAACAGGAAAACAGGGATTGAGGAGGGATCCAAGAGGAAATTCCCGTCAGATCCCAAATCCCGATCCTGGAGTTTCTCTCCTGGATTTTTGTCCCACCGAGGATCCAAACAAGGGATCGAGGATGGATCCAAGAGGAAATTCCCGTCGGATCCCAAATCCCAGGAGGAAAACAGGGAT